GATATTCTGTTTTATTTGTAGTCTGTGTGGGCTGTGTTTGAAAACTATATTTGATCCAACTGCACCATAGCATGCACTCCAGTGGAGGCTGATTGGAAGCAGGCAAGACCAAGATTTTAATTTATTTATTTCTCACAGCATGTTCGCAGCTAGCAAACAGCTTGGGGATGACTAGTTTAATAAGCAGAATATTTCCATTTCAATATCCTTGAATAATGCAGACTATACACTTGAGATAATGCACTATGTGGGGGACTGGGGGATCCACACATTTCAGCCACTCCTCTTGAAAACAAATTTAATGGTTGTCCTCTAGTCTGCCAGCATAGCAGGAAATCTACCTGCAATCAATGATACCAAAAGCGTCGTTGACTTTTACCCAGCCCATACAATTTGTGCCTTTGAAAATAAATTATGCATCATTATACATCATTATGCATACCTACTAAATTGTGTTGTATCAGTTCCTGATGATTAATACTTCCAAACCAACAGACATTTCCCTTCCATAATAATTAGATACAGTGTAAGTATGGGAACGTAAAAGTGGAGGTGGCTGTGAGAGGAAAGGGAATCACATGCCCAATACAGCACAAACACCTTTCCTGGAATTTCCCCAGGAGATAAGCCATCAGGTACACTGTAACTGATCTGCTGATTTGAGGAAATTTAAAGCTGTGTGCACATTGCCAGCTTAAAACGCAACTAGGTCATTCTGTTTCTCAATTTGAATATGAATTGTGGCTGTCGCATGCAAAAAAAAAGAAAAGGTAAAGGATCCCTGGACGGTTAAGTCCAGTCAAAGGCAACTATGGGCTTATGGCGCTCATCTCACTTTCAGGCCAAGGGAGCCGGTGTTTGTCCACAGACAGCTTTCTGGGTCATGTGGCCAGCAGGACTAAACCACTTCTGGCGCAATGGGACACTGTGACGGAAGCCAGGGCACACGGGACAGAGCAATGGGGACTCACTCTGTTGCAGGAATTTGAACCGCCGACCTTCCGATTGGCAAGCCCAAGAAGCTCAGTGGAAGGGCACTGGGTGCGGAGTAAATGGGAGTATGTATACAGCCTCTGTCTACAAAGCACAGTTAGTAAAATAGTAATGTTCCCCCTCCCTCAGTAGCAAGTTGTTCTAATAAATGATAGCACTACTGTGACTAATCCCCATGATGGAGACAATGGATTGTGTTAGAATCACATTATTTTTGCTAGGTTAGGAACTAAGAGAACTAACCATACCTGGAGCAGATCCTGCATCCTGTCCATGGAGCCACTTTAGAAATTACATGTCAGCATACCACGTTATGCTGCATTAATTATCAGACACTTTAAAGAACAGTTGTGAATATAGCAAAAGTGTATGCTTGGCTCTGTTTTGCAGAAGTAGAGTCACCTGCTACTGATGCCACTGGATTAGACTGAGGCATTCCCCACCGCACATACACAATTTACAGCTTCAGATAAAACACCATATGATAAAGTAAAGCCACAGGGATTTGTGGTAGATCATTTAATTGCTGTTTGCATGCTTGAGACCAGGCTGAGACATAGCTGGTAAGGTAGGGGCCCTAACGAAGCAAAACAAGGGTCCGGTGGGGAGGGATTGAATTCCATATGCACATAGCTTCATACCTGTCATGTTTTAAGCATCTGGTAGCAATGCAACAGGAAGGAGCTTGAAAGGAAACAGAATAGTTGAATTATGAACACTACATCGTTTATTTGCAGCTAATGTGTTTAAAAATTAGCTGTCCTTCACAACAAAACAAGTATTCTACCATATAAACCTGCGGCCCTCTGGATGTTATTAGACTCTTAACTCTCATCAGCTCTAGCCAGTATGGCCAACAGTCAAGGATGATGGGAGTTGTAGCCTTACAACATCTCAAGGGCCGTAGGTTCCCCACAGGGCTGGCCCACCCACGAGGCAAGGTGAGGCACCTGCCTTGGGTAGCAGGATCCATAAGGGCAGCAGATCCCAATGTAGATCCTTATTCCCCATCTTCACTCGCCCATTCTTCCCTGGTGGGGAGGTGTGTGCCATTTTGTGGTTTGCTTCAGGGGCCCAAATGTCTCAGGCTGGGCCTGGTTTCCCACCCCACATCACCTAAACTAATGGTGTGAGGTTTCTGTGTCCCTCATAGAGGTTACATCCCTGTTTCAAACTGAATGCTTATTAAATCGTACTCGGGCACTGAAGTGCAATCAGGGCCGACCCGACCATGAGGTGGACTGATGCAGCTGCCTCTGGTGGGGAAATCCAAGGTGCGGCACCCGCTCAGAACCCCATGAGCTTACTCCCGTTGCCACTGGAGAAGTGAGAAGTGACAGCAACTCCCTGATTCTGGTGAGATCTCACAAGAGCTCCACAAGATCTCACGGGGCTATTGCAAGACCAGAAGCCACTGCTGCCGCCACGACTCCTCACTGCTCCAGCGCCACCACAAGCAATACACCACCACTGGGGAGCCTACTGGAAACCAGCATCGCTTCTCCTCACTTCTCCAGCAATGCCATGGGCTCCCACATCCCAATAGAAGCGAGGAGAAGCAGCTTTGGCTTCTGGCAAGATTTCACAGGACTCTTGCGAGATTTGACTGGAAGCCACCATGGCCGCCACAGCCTCTTCTCACTTCTCCCATGGTTGTGGTGGTGGGCACCCTTTTCCCCCAACGCTGCCAGAGAAATGAGGAGAAGCAGCAGCGGCAGTGGCTTCCACATCCCAGTGAGATCTTGTGGACCTCTCGAGATCCCACCAGAAGCCACCACCACAGTCACGCAATCACAGACAGTGAGGCTTCAAGAGCGGAGTGTGTGTGGAAGCAACAGGGGAGCAACACCTTCCCATTTTGCCTCAGGCGGCAAAACAGGGCGGGCTGCCCCTGGGTGCAATAGGCAAAGCGTTGTGTGGCTGTAAGAACTTGGTAACAAGGCTTCCCTTCATCTACAAAATTCACTGAATAACCTTGGGACAATCTAATGTCCTTTGCATGTTGCTCTTAGGATAACACTAGACAAAGTGATATAGATTTCCATTACTGAACTTAAATTCATACTTGACAGGGGATCTCACGTAGAGGCATTCGACAAACCATTATCACTCAACCCACTTTAATTCGCAAGTCTTGTTATGAGACTAGTAGCTGTTAGGCGTCTTGGAGTTTATGACAAATGATGGCAATACTACTAGTAGTTTAGTCTTAACACGCTGTTGCAATTTTATCTCAGAAACCATCGTGTGACTTGCAGTACCCTTCTAACAGCTGAAATAGGTTTTCTCAGCAGCATATTGAGGCTTTTGTTTTATGGAAAGAATATTAATGACAAACTTCCCTGAAAGGCACTTTGCTGGCCATCATCACCAATCTCCCCATGTTTCATGAAATCATTGGATTTGTTTTAGAGCAGTAGTCTTCCACCTTTTCAGACCCAGACTCAGCTTGAACCCAAGCATGCATTTGGAGACCCATATCGTATATATTTGTGGTGGTGCTGCTGCAGCTATCCCCGTTAGATCAGGCTGTGACCTGGTGGTGGTTTCTGACCCATCTGTTGAAGACCAGTGTTGAGATCCCATGCTCAGTTGAAATGGGGCAGCCGTGAGCTCAGAGGCCAGTGACATATGGATGCCACGTATTTTCTACCTGCACTGTTGGAACTCCCAGTTCCTGAAAATCACATAAGAGGAGAGTGTTTTGTCACTCAGGTTTGAAAACCACTTTTATCCAGAGATTTCCCACCCTCTTCTTCATTCATACATACATACATACATACATACATAGCTTTATTTGTATGCTACCCTTCCATAGTTCAAACAAATGTGGTCATATACAATAAATAAAACATAAAAACACACAACCAAATTGAACAATTTCAACAGTAAGATCTAAAATAAAGATACAAAAAAAAAAAATCAATAATGGCAACAACCCCCCCCCCAAAAAAAACCCCTAAGCAACACCCCAGTGCAAGAGTATATTCAGGTGATCTGCATGAAATGTCAATGTGACCTCTTGAACATATAATAACCCAAACCAGTATTATCCTTGCACTCATAAATGTCATAATTACTGTCAACTTGGCATAGTGCTTTTGTAAATACATTTGTCATAAAGTGTCACCATTCCAGCTCCTCCTCCCTTTTTTACGCTGTGTGTGTGTCTGAAGATTAACATTTGCAATCGCTAAACCATTCAGCAAGATGTGATTATAACAAAAACAGGGTCGAACTGTCCTTTACACACTGTCACCTGGGAATAGTTTGTTTTCTCTCTGAACTTCTGTTATTGATTTGTGTGCAGTTTGCTCTTCAGAGGGTCCATATGCTCCTGAGGCTGAAATTCCTGCACGTCTATGAGTTAGACCCATTGAACCCACTGGAACATATGAATAAAAACATGTACAAGCAAGTACAGAGAATCATAAGAAGCTGCCTTATACCGAGTCAAACTAATGTCCATTGAGCTCAATATCGTCTACACTGACTGGCAGCAGGTCTCCGGGGTTTCCCAGCCCTACCCGGAGATGCCAGGGTGTGAACCTAGGACCTTCTGCATTCAAAAGCAGATGCTCTACCGTAGATATGCAGCCCTTGCCCCAAAGCCTCAAGTGCTCTAAAAACACATTTGCACTCTTCTTTTCCTTATGTTCTTACAAAGACGCCTGCTTCTTCAGCATTACAGAAAGCAGTTGTTTTGTACAGAGATGAGATGCTTGGAATCGAAGTTCTTGGTTTGAAGTAACTGGATCCAATCACTCACAACAACAAAAAGGTTCCAGCATTGTCGTCATCCCCCACCCCCTTTTGTAGTTACTGTATTTTTTGCTCTATAAGACTCACTTTTTCCCTCCTAAAAAGTAAGGGGAAATGTGTGCGCGTCTTATGGAGCGAATGCAGGTTGCGCAGCTATCCCAGAAACCAGAACTGCAAGAGGGATTGCTGCTTTCACTACACAGCTTCTGAGATTCAGAATATTTTTTTTCTTGTTTTCCTCCTCCAAAAACTAGGTGCGTCTTGTGGTCTGGTGTGTCTTATAGAGCGAAAAATATGGTATAACAGCAGAGATAATTCAGGTGCTGAATAAGTTCAGAACTCCCTTATAGGTCTCTGTTACATATTTTCCTGCTATTGTTTGTGTTAATGGTAGCCTAACTCTATACATTTGTCTTTTGTTTCCAGATGTTTCTTGTTTCCAGATCTATCAGCTGTGAATGAGGAGGAAGGAAACAAGTTTTATTTTAGATAGCTCAGCCATATGGACAACCTGAAGGAATATATTATTAGCATGTAACCTTTAGGGACGCAGGTGGTGCTGTCGGTTAGGCTACAGAGGCTAGGACTTGCCAAACAGAAGGTTGCCGGTTCGAATCCCCGCGACGGGGTGAGCTCCCGTTGTTCGGTCCCTGCTCCTGCCAACCTAGCAGTTCGAAAGCATGTCAAAGTGCAAGTAGATAAATAGGTACCACTCCTGCGGGAAGGTAAACGGCGTTTCCGTGCGCTGCTCTGGTTCGCCAGAAGCGGCTTAGTCATGCTGGCCACATGACCCGGAAGCTGTACACTGGCTCCCTCGGCCAATAAAGCGAGATGAGCACCGCAACCCCAGAGTCGGCCATGATTGGACCTAATGGTCAGGGGTCCCTTTACCTTTACCCTTAAAGTTACATGAGTTTGGACTAAATGGTTTTTTGGAGTCCTTCCACCACCATGGCCAACCCTAACATTCTGGGGCTATGGACACATTACCCTTTAATCTGCTGTTTGATGCGTTTCCCCTCAAAGCAGCTTCCATCCACTTTCAAAACATAAGCCACAATTAAGCTGATGTGTGTGCATTTGAGACAGCCATTGTGCATGCACAGATAACAGCTTCATTAATAGGAGTTTGGGGAGCGAGGTTGCAGATATAACGTTAATGCATAGCGGGAGAAGATATCCTCACTCTGCTATCTGGTGTGTACAGCAATGTGCAAATGCGACTTGATATACATTGTAGGCTGCTAATGTGTACATGGCCTATTTGTAAAAAGAGATGACTAAAGAGCTAAAACCAGGGGAACAAACCTGACTAGGCAGGATGGAAGAATCCAGTGCTTTTTTCTGGGGGGGGGTGCAGGGGTATGCAAACCCCTAAACCAGGGGTCAGCAAACTTTTTCAGCAGGGGGCCGGTCCACTGTCCCTTAGACCTTGTGGGGGGCCGGACTATATTTTTTTTGGGGGGGGAATGAACAAAATTCCTATGCCCCACAAATAACCCAGAGATGCATTTTAAACAAAAGGACACATTCTACTCCTGTAAAAACACGCTGATTCCCGGACCGTCCATGGGCTGGATTTAGAAGGCAATTGGGCCGCATCCGGCCCCCGGGCCTTAGTTTGCCTACCCATGCCCTAAACATTTTGTGAATCTAAGTTTGGCCTCATTGAGGGGCAGTATTTCAATCTGAGTAGGAAAATGAGAGTACCCCTAAACATATTTTTTGTGGGGGTAGGAAGTTCTGGAAGACTCCATTTAGTGCATCAGTTGCACTGAATATTAAGAAGAAGAAGAAGAAGAGTTTGGATTTGATATCCCGCCTTTCACTCCCCTTCAGGAGTCTCAAAGCGGCTAACATTCTCCTTTCCCTTCCTCCCCCACAACAAACACTCTGTGAGGTGAGTGGGGCTGAGAGACTTCAAAGAAGTGTGACTGGCCCAAGGTCACCCAGCAGCTGCATGTGGAGGAGCGGAGACGTGAACCCGGTTCCCCAGATTACGAGACTACCGCTCTTAACCACTACACCACACTGGCTCTCAATATTAATATGAATTGTATTTTATTCCTTCTTTTATTTATTACATTGTGTTTTTATTGTATTGGAAATTTAATTCTATAGAATTCCAATTGCTGTAACGTGCAGAGAAATAACTGGTCTGCAATATTCCAGTGGTCCATGGTCCAGGAGGTGGCGTGAGTATGGGAACCAAGGAATCAGCAGCTTTCATACTGTCATCAGAGGAACCCTATGGCGCAATGAGAACATCAGTAAAAGTGAGCAAACCTTCCTACAAGACTGTTTATCCCACTGTGACCTAATCATCCCCTGCAATGCGCAGCCAGAAGGGTGTGGTGGGCGAACAACTGTGAGGATCAGACAACAAAGAGGATGCCTCCTTTCTGTCCCAAGATAAGCGTGAAAGGAATGACCGCTTCAAGAAAGCTAGCTCCCCAGGGAAGATTTCTAGAATTCCTTGAGGAATTTGGGAGATTTGAAACACAAAACACTTTACACAGTACTTAAGGGATGTTCTCTATCAAAGAATAGGCATCACAAAGGATTCTGGGGCAAAAGGTTTTTCTGTGGGAGAGGCCTGGAGGTTCTCAGCAGAAAAGTCAATAGAGGGTTGATTCCCCAGAGGTAGAAAATTTGAAAAACGTGCTGATTAGGACATAATCTCGGGCAATTGTGTGCACTGCTCTATTCCTGTTACTCGTGAAGGTGATATGCGGTATCAGTTTGATCTCAACCAAATTGGCCTGGGTACCTCTTATCTCATGGGTTGATAGCTCACTGAACCGGTTGTAACTTGATCTCGCTGCAATAAAACTACTGCAGGCGGTGAAAAGCCTCTAAAATAAATGTGTTACAGGGACAAGGGGCAATCTTGCCAGAAACACAGAAGGGTTTTCTTTTTTTTTACGTTGGGAAAAGGGGGCTTTATTTTCAGAATAATTCTTATAAAGCATCTGAGCACTTTAGACGCTCAAGTTCAGAGTCATAAAAGTTAACTATCCCGTGTGCCAAAAGTAATGCCTTTATTTGTCACTTTTTGTTCCCAGGGGTTGATGGAGCGACCAAGTCATCAAAATGAGGATGGAGATGCATTTGATTCCTAACGTCTGGATTCTGTCAAGGTGTGGTTCAGGAACACTTTTGAGATCATGTCACAGCCCTAGTTTTACACCCGAATCACAGGGAATATAAAACAAGAACAGTGGCTTTGTTATTGCAGCAAATTTCTCCCACCGAATAAATAATGGAACAAATCCACCATGCCTCTTAAAAAGCTTATTCCTATGGGCCAGGCATGTCCAAAGTCTGTTTTGGGGGCCTAATCCGGCCTGCTGGTTGGTTTAATCTGGCCCCTGTGGCAGTTTATTTCCTGGGGTAAAATCTCCCCCAACAGCTCAACAACTTAAATCCTTAAAAACCTCAACCACTTTGGGGTAAAAAAGCTCAAAAACTTCACTCCTAAAAAAAAGCTCAAAAGTTTGCTTCATCAAATCTGGCCCTCTTTGAAAAAAGTTTGGGCACCCCTGCTATAGGCGAAACACTTTTAAACTGAAGTCTCAAACAAGAACTCACAGGGTGTGCGCTTATGAAGTGTAAATCAGACAGTAATCAGGAAGATAGTATGGGCAATTGCAATCACGTAAATTCCTCTCTCGACGTCTGCGTTTATGGCTTTTCAGCCTCACCTTTTCCAAAACTGGTTTGCACTTTGCAGTGAACCAGATCTTACAAACATATTGCAGGACTGGGGAACCTTCAGCCCTCCAGAAGTGGTGAAACTAGAACTCCTATCATCCCCGCCCACTGGGATTGTAGTTCAGCAACATCTGATGGGCCAAAGGTTCCCCTTCTTGACATATCGTAAGATGCCGTCCCACAATTCTGTCCAGCTAAGTCCCCCTTCAACATTTACACTCCTAATTTGTCTTTTTGTTTGGTCTTCTCCAAGTACTTTTTGTAGGATTGGAATGTTTGCATTGCGTGATACATTAAATGTTCTACCCAGCAGTAAAATCCATAGTTCACATCTATTAACGACCATCCAATTAGGCCTTAAAAATCCTATGCCTACTGAAATATTCTGTAAAACTTGCAGTAATCCTCATTTATTATATTTTGGAAACTTTTTTTTTAAGCTACACTAATCTTGTCAAGTGTTTCATTTTTCAAGCTTTACAACACTGTTGGCGAAAGAAATACTGGGTGCCTTAATGTAGCTTGCTGGGAGTGTGGGAAAATAACCTTTACGTTGTTTAGCTCTCCAATTTTACTGCCTATTTATGCTTCCATCTTTAAAGCTAATGGGCATCTTTAAAGGAGAACATTTTCAAATTGCAAATTAATTGTGTTGTGAGAGATGGTAAAGCATGTTTCTTAGTTGACCTTATTGTCCTTAAATTACAGCCCTCAAGACACTATTCCCACTGAAGGCAGACCACTCAAGCATAAATAGCACCTGAATTTTAATCACCAATTCTTGTTACTGTTAAGTCAGTGCATGTACGAAACCCTGTCTAAATAGCAACGTGAAATGTGGTGCACAGGATAACAAGGTCATTGAAACCAATTTGGGTTTTTTTTCCATTTTAACTTGTTCCACATTGTCGCTAAAAGCTGGAATGTTTGAAGTCCTGGGTGGAGACAAATAATGAAATGTTCCAAGTTGAATGTTCCTGCCACAGCTTCACCTTGTGGAGTTGTTTCATAGCTCAAGATTAAAGGAAGCACTAGAATTACCATGCTGGCTGAAGAAAAAGATGGTAAACCACACAACCTTGCAGAATATTCAGGACTCGGGGTGTGGGGTTTTCTGGTCATTTAACTGACATACTTTTTTCCACCTCTGAACTTAGGCAAGGATGTGTCCTTGATGATTTTATTTATACTTGGCCGATCTTCCCACATATTTGGGCTCAACATCTTCACACCCTCCTCACTCACCACTACCAAAGTTTACATTTTCTTATGCACAGATGATGCTGTCTTAATCTCACAATGCCGGCTAGGGCTCTGTCCACTGGAGATGACTTCAGGAAATAATTTATAACTATTAACTTTGTGAAGTCAAAGGTAATGGTGTTTTCAAAAAGGAAGGCCAAGTATTCCTGGGCCATGGATAGCCACAGATTAGAACAAGTTGATTTCTGCAGCTATTTCAGGATCTGGTTTCATGACTGTCAACAATTGGACTGCGCTTGACAAATTAGCAAAGGCAAAAGCAGGGCATACGGTAAGAGCATTACTTTGATTTTGTTTCCCCTTCACAAAAGGAGGTGAATCTGTTCCAGCAGCAATATGAGTGAACACAGCAAAAGCTGTGAAGCAGATTTTATACGGTGCCTCAATCTGGTTACTCTCAGAATATGTTGGAAGCTGAAATGGAAATGGAGGTGATCTGAGTGCGAAAGAGAGGTGAGTGTGGATCCTGTCTGAAGCCTGGTCGTGGGCTAGGGCCATGCCAGGACCCACTGGGGACCTATATCATAGGGCTCCCCCTGCTGGTGGTTTACCCTTAGTGTGACTCCCTGCAGACAGGCAGGAGATAGGATATAGTCTGGTTCCACCCAGTGTCAAACCACTCACATCTGTAACCAATAAAGTTGTGGCCTATTTTTGTCCATTAACCTAAATTATCATATCCATGTGTGTTTTTTATATATTTGGGAACTACGGGGCCCGGGGCCTTGTCACGCAAACAGGGTTGGGAAGGTGAAAAGTAAGCCGAGTAGTTGCATGGAGCGGGAAAGAGAAATTCTAGGGGTTAATGTGGGGTGAATGGTAGGGTCCTGTGCAAGCAAATCTGTGAAATAAAATAAATCTGTGAAACTGTTCCAGAGAAGGAATTTGTATTTTGTTGTCACCGGCACTAACCAATTGGTACCCACCACAGACTGATCTTCTCCGTTCAAGTTTGCAGAACAATTTTTTAAAGAGCATATTGTCACAGAGCAGATGTAGTACATATGTTTATAGAGCAGTTAAAGTGTTTCTGCTGCTTTCAGAATGGTACGTTTGTATGCACCTTCTCCAAGGCTTCAGTCTTCCTGGCTGCATGCACACCATACATTCAAAGCACATATAGAGCACTTGGCTTCCTCTCAAAAATGCTGGGAAGTGTAATGTACCTCTCACAGAGCTACAACTCCCAGCACCCATAACAAACTACAGTGGTACCTCGGGTTAAGTACTTAATTCGTTCCGGAGGTCTGTTCTTAACCTGAAACTGTTCTTAACCTGAAGCACCACTTTAGCTAATGGGGCCTCCTGCTGCTGCTGTGCCGCTGGAGCACGATTTCTGTTCTCATCCTGAAGCAAAGTTTTTAACCTGAGGCAATATTTCTGGGTTAGCGGAGTCTGTAACCTGAAGCATATGTAACCCGAGGTACCACTGTACAGTTCCTAGGATTCTCTGGAGGGAAGCTATACAGGGTGTATACACAGTCATGCATATACTCCTTGACTGCTGCTGGAATATTAGGCTTGGCTCACACAAACAGGAAATGAAAGGGTATCTCTCACATCTGTTCTGCATTTCAGTAACTCCCAGGTTTTGAACATGCACCGATATTTCCCTTCCCATATAGGATGCATCTGGGCATGGTAATTCCGTATTTGCAGTCTGAATAGTTTGTATATCCGAGTCTGTTTAGTAGATTATTTTTTAACCATGCTTCTTGGAACTGTTTATGAATGTATCGCCAACAAATTTAAAAAAATCATAGTGACCAAAATATGTAGTTAGGGGCATAAAAAAAGGAACACCCAATTTCTTTTTTAAGTAACATTCAACCGCAGCAGCCATATTCAACATAACCGTATTTTAAAAGTTGACTCGGAACGAAAGTCCATCACAACAGCCAAAGCCAACTAATAGGCGAAATGGTACCGCTTTATTTGTGTGGTTTATGTGAACCAGGCCTTCATTTAAGTTGTAATCCAGGAAAGATTATAACAAGAATGGTATAGGTACTCAACCTGTTTTGAAAAAGTTTATTAATACCAAATATTCTAAATTATAACATCTTAAAAACATTAATGTACAATGTTTCAGAGGTAAAGCAAGAAAGAAGGTTGTTATCAGAAATGATCGTTATCGTAAATGGCATTATGATTTAAGCAATATGTTATTGTTATTAAGGCTCATAAAGTGTAGAAAATCAACCAATGTTTTAAACATTTAATGTTTCTAGTCAAAGCTTCCAACACCAGTCCTGTTTAACTAGATTAATAGCATCCTATTCAGTAGATGATAGCTAAACTATCCTTTTTTAAAAATAATCCAAGCAAATATTGTTAACACCCTGAAATCAATTCCAGCACATGAGAACCCCTTGAATATTATTCATGACTTGAGCAAACAGACCCCTTAAAAAAAGCAAAAGTATATATTGATGATAAGCATCCTGCCCAAAAATTCATTTACTGTATGTCTTGCAGAATATAATCCAAGCAATGTTTAGAAATGATTAAATGAGATATTCCTCTACAGGTAAGATTCTCAATCTTAATTTTACATCTACACAGCATCAAAGTAATGTAAAAAGACAGATTCTTATATTCCCAATTTTTTAAGGCAGGTTAAGAAGATTCTCATATTCACTGCATGCATTCATGACTCGAAATAAAACTAGTTAGTTTTAACTACGATTTGGGCTCGGCCCCTCCAAGTCAGAGACCATTTTAAGGGAGAAACGCCTTCTGTGGCCACAATGTAGCTGGATGTTTCAGGCTAATTCTGTTGTTCACTACAATCAGCGTAAGATCTTAAATCTGCCGGTGTTCGAATTAGTTGACTAAACAATAACTTAAAACTGACGGCTCATATTTTGGGATGGGATGAGACAGCTCAGCGGCTATCGCTTCAAGTTTCCCAGGCTTGTAAACCTGATTGGTAAATCACCAATCCGAAAGCCACTTTGTGGCCATGGTTACTTCAAATGCATCTCCTGTATCAATTAGTCTTTTGTGGGCGAGCTTCGGATAATGAAAAATGTCCATCATTAAAGATCTCTCTCTGCTGGGAATGCCCCGGAGGTAAAGGAGGAATATTACAAAGGTAGTTCTGTCAAGCTTCCGCTCATTGCTGTGGAGCTTATGTAGGAGAAAGGTATTGGTAGATTGTGCCCGCAGTTAAGAAAATTAGATTCTTCTGTAGAAGAGGAACGCAGGGCCATGGCCCTTATCCTGCAGCTCCACTGGCCACACATAGCAGGCCAAGGCTACTAAAGTGAGGCTAGCTGGTAAGGCCCCATTTTCTTCCTCCATTTGATTACTACGACATGGAGGAAAACACCTGAGAGGGAGGCCTTCTAAGTACTGAATCATTTTGAAAAGGGGTAGACGGGACATTTAAACTGCTTTGCAGAATAAGGCCTTCAAATGTAAGACGAAGCCATGGAATTCTGCTGCATTAACAAGCCATAGCGAGTCTTGGTCCTGAAGACGATTCCTCCCCTTCTCCTCCTCTTGAATGCTCCTGCTTCCGATTTTAGCCAAATCTATTTCCTTAGACATCAGAACTAGAGGAACTGCGCCTTCTTTAAACTATGATTAGTGAAAAGAAGCCAGAATCAAACCCTGCTTTCAGATCCTGGCTTGTTCTCACCACAGTTTAAACAAACCATGGTTCCTCAAGTTCAAATATCAAAGGAAACCGCGATTAGTTTAAAATCACAACATCCCCATCTCCTTTTCTGGTTTATAAAAGAGGTTAGGTTCCTCATTAAGTTCATGATTTCTGGCTACTTCTGAACTGCGGCTAAGGCATTGCCAACAGTCTGCTGCAGAATCCTCCAAGTATCTTTGGTTTCAAAATGTGTGCCTGTTCAAACTTGGGCGCTTTTTCTTCATTACAGCTTTCAAAAAGAAAGATTTTGAAGATGCTGTCATAGTTGTGAAATATTTTCCAAATCCAAAGGGACAATAAGGATGAACACTACATTTGCTTTTCATACATTTTCTTCCTCTAAAGCAGGATAGCCATTTATGAATAATAGCCGATGAACAATCATTATTGGTGACCTACTTCCTTACTTAAACAAGGGGTTAATGGCATTTTCAAAAATAATCCTGAATCCCTGGCATGGGAAGTAAGCTTTTTAAACATTAATTGAGGTTCTAAAATAAAAGGAGAGCATTTCTGTTTTCTTGGTTCTGTGTTTATTATTTTAAACTGTTTTGCTGTTCACACAACTATGCAGAGAAAATAAACCCGCTTGAAAAGATAGAATATAAACCGAGTCAAAACTCAGTTGTGATAGAAGTGGAAGAACTGCCCATCTTCAATAATAACTAAGTTAAAAGGCTATGATGAGACCATCTCATTTTAACCCTCAACCATTCATATTTCACACTGTGTTTGTGGCAATCCATGCCTTATTACAATTGCACTGTTACCTATGGTCCAACCAAATTATAATTCTTTATTCACTGCTACCGAAAGAATCTGTGCAAGATGCTTCTAGATTCTGCCACTCCGCAGCTAGACACCTTTAAAGAAGTATTAAGTCAGAGAGTCTTATACACAGCAGCAAGTTGGACAATATGTAAAAAATACTATCTGTTTCATAGGCAATTACCTTTTGAAGTAAACAAGGCACAGGGTTTATTGAATCTAGTTTGGCACTTGAAAAAATAAGAGCTTTATGTGATAGCATCATCAACAGTAAACGTTTCACAAAAATATATGTGCAAGTGTAAAAAAAGGCAATTCTTTTCATAATAAATTGTAAGAAATATTCCAATTTAAAAATTAGACCAGTCTCTTATTATATTTGACTAGAAAATCTTAATACATTATTTTAGGTGCCCTGTTACTGTCTTTCACGTTGTTCGTTGGCTCTCGTCGAGTTTTCTTCATTTGTAGCGAAATCCATGGGATCCATCACCTGATAATAGACCAAGTACACTATTAGCAATAAAATCTTTGCACGCTCTTTCGAAGCAACTGTTACAATGATTATGTAATAGATATTTAACTGAACCAAGCTTGGGCAGCAAACAAAGAAATAAAAAAACATCTAGCTAAATAATGCGTCCTATGTCCTGGGCTGCAATCTAATGTACCCACAAGTGCACATTAGAAATTTTCCTATAGGTTTTTAAAACCTGTTCTGTAGGAGAGTGCTGATGGAAGGTTCTGCAATAAAGATGGAAACCGGCTACTCCCTTGCTCCAAGAAGTACATTTCAGTGTGAGAGTGACTGAACTGATGAAAATCTTCAGCAGAAATTTTTTAGCTCCTTCATCAGACTACAATATTCTAAAAGATTGTGCCAATAAAGGCTGAATGAATGAATGAATATTCTAAAAGAGTGAACAACAGAAGTTAAGATAGTTCAGATAAACCCCCTAAATGTTGGAAGTGTTTGAAAAACCAACTTGGCTAGGCAGCAGAAAGGAAAAGGACATATTACTCACATGTCTAAAGCCACTGGGTATATAGAAAATTAGCAGATAACTGCGTAAATTAGAAAAAGTGTGATGCAAATCTTCATACTTCCCTACAACTACGAAACATCACAATGTATTCCTAATATATCATCTAAGCTATGAGATATGCATACTGTTGTCATGCTGACCCCTTACTGTTCCACACTGAACAGGGAGGGAAAGCTGTCCAGTTTTAAAA